GATTTTATAAGTTCCCAGGTCGAGCAATACAGAAAAAAATGATTTCACTCACAGGATCAGAGCCTGGCCAGCAGGATTATCACACATGTGAAATCATCAAGGAGCCTCTTCATCATGTGCCACATACCTGTGTTCTGCTGGATTTCAGCCACTGTGCTTAAGAGGCTTTTTAGTGAAACTGACAGGGAAGAAATTCCAAGGACTCTGACTGAAATGTACACACACTTCCTGATCTTTCAGGCAAGTTTAAAAAAAGACAAGTATATGAAAAACTATGAAACCAAGCTTAATGAATACAGCAAGGAATTCCTTTTGAAACTTGGTAAACTGGCTTTTGACAACCTTGAGAAAGGGAATCTCATATTTTATGAGGAAGATTTGATAGAGAATGACATTGAAGTCAGTGAAGCTTCAGTTTACTCTGGAGTGTGCACAGAAGTCTTTAAAGAGGAATATGGGTTGTATCAGGAGAAGGTGTACTGCTTTGTGCATCTGAGCATCCAGGAGTATCTCTCTGCTATATATCTGTTTCTGTCAAACTCATCAGCTGACCTTCTGGAGACTGCAGTGGATCAGGCATTAAAGAGCAAGAATGGACACTTGGACCTTTACCGCCGCTTCCTCCTGCACAGTATAAAAGTGAGTGAATTGTATGGCACCAGTCATCAAACGCAGATTATGAAGCTAGACTGTGTTTGACTGCATCGCATTATTATTTAGCAGCGCTGATAAAGGGTGAGAGCTGTCTTAATGACTGATGGAGTGTATTCCCATTAAAGCAGATATAATGGGTGGTGGCCTCATTGCTTTTAGACCACAACTTGTGATAGAACAAATCAAATCACTTTGCTCATTTAATATTAACATTAACATTAAGCTTAATTTTTAGAAACCCACCATGATCGAGGCAGGTATGGCACTGATATTAGTCTTTACCACATTTCATTTTCTGCATTTTTGAGTTGCCTGTGTTGGTGTATGTTAATTGATGTGAGCAGTCTAGTTCTTACATATGAGCATCCCTGAACAAATTTCAATTGTAGAGATACAGAAAACCCAAATGATCTTCCAGGGAAAAGCAGGCTTAGAAATGAAACAAAATGATTGGTTTTCCATAGTTTTTTTTCCTAGCCAATGCCTTTTATAGTTATGGAGGCTAAACCATCCCCCCTGGTGCTTGGCTGGAATGCCATTTCTGTGGTTTTTGTTCTCTTGCCTTATTCATCACAATCGCGGTGGATTAAAAAAAAAATTGTCAAAAACAGTACTGCGTCATCCTATGCTAATATACATCTAGTACCATTGGTCTACAGGGGAGTGGGTGGTACCAGGAGCTGCACAGCAAAGGGTATCACAACTGTCCTAACACCTTTCCACATATGTTAATCATCCAAGGGCAGGACTAGAAGTCAAACATGTCACTACACCATTAACCCCCTGGGACCGGCGATCCCGCCGGCGGGATTTGACAGAATTCTCGCGAGATCGTTTAAATAACTCCGCGAGTTTTTGTCATATACACATACTCTCAGAAACCTTGGACGGTCTACTTTTCAAATATATATAGGTAGAAACTAAATATATTTTTACAGC